GCCTGTTCTGCTCCCCACTTTGTCTCTGGTGAATCCTCTCACTGCCCCTGCACCTCTGGCCTGTATCCCAGTTCTGTATGAATAAATAAATTTTAAAAAAGTTATATGCGGATTTTTAAAAGATTTATTTATTTATGCATACAGGTCTACAGGCCAGAGGGTGCAGGGGTGGTGAGAGTATTCACTAAAGACAGAGTAGGGAGCAGCACAGGCAGATCGACTAAAACACACTGCTGAGGGGAGCAGCTGGTGACATAGGAGAGGTCTGCTGTGCCATGTGGGTCACCTCCATGACAGGGAAGTCAACTCCTGCTGAAGTGGCTGCGGCTAGCTTCCTAGTGCTGCGTTTTAACCCAATGCACCACCAGGGAGGGCCCAGGTATAACTTTTTACTCCCCCAAGGAGTTGAACAAGGAGCCTTACCAATAGGACAGTGGGTGAGCACATGTTTTGTATAATGTCTGTATTATGTACTATATTTTACAATAAAGTGAACTAGAGAAAGTTATTAAGAAGACCGCAATGTAGCTGGCAAGTCACTAAGTGGTAGAATGATGTTAGAGGCAGGGCTGAGAGAGAAGCAGTTTCTGGGCTTTCCTGGGCCACCCTCCTCCTGATGAAGGCAGTGGCTTCAAAATTCCTGCACCCAGTCATCCTTGGACTTCCCCCTTGGGCAAGGGCACCATGTGCTAGAATATCAACCAAAACTCTTGTCTTCAGCATCTCACTAGTGGCCACTTAAGGGAGAACATCAAGCTAACGTGGAAATTGGTAATATGGCAAAGTGAAAGAAAGGTGTTTTGATTCCAGATCACACATCTAATGATATTGGAGCTAGATAATTGGCATGGTCACCATCAGTTACCCAATGGTTTTCCTAGGATATTAGATCAGGTTGAAATCCTGGACAAAATCTGTGATTTGGATCTAGAAATGCTCAAAGATCTTCCCAGTTGATGCTGAATTCACCCTCTTAGTGGGAGGGTATACAATATTGGCTTCTCATATGCATGTATTGATGGCATCATGGGGGAGTCATTAATCCTGCAGGAGAATGACAAACCTGAAGCAGTTGCTGCCAGGTTAAGACAGTACAAGGATGTTGCAAAGTCAGTCACTGAAGTATACAAGAACTATGGAATACTCCACCAATTCGGAGGGATAAAGCCAACAAAATCTGGCCCTATGTTTACATAATTTTCTAGAGAAAGAGCACACCTTTTGAGTCCAAAGAAATTTAGAGTCTTCTCAGTGAGAGAACCAGGAAGATGTCATTCATTTAATTGTGTGTGTAGTGTGCTGTTCTCCAACTAGAAGCTAGCTGAGATAGCTTGCAGTGTCTTTTCTAGTTTTAATGGGAAACTGATATGAAAACTAGTGAGTAGAAAGAGTTGAGAAGAGGTTTTCCTCACCTTTCCAAAAGGAGGGTCACCTACACTTGTTTAAGGTATCTCTGCACAGGTCTCAAGCCCCTTACAGGAAAAGCAAGCATTAGATGGATTTCAGTGTAGCCCGAACTCTAGCTGAGTTTGGACTGTCATATTGTTGCCATGCTAGCTGTTTTATGTGTGATGGTGGTGGTGTCTCGTTATCCCTATCCCCCAAAGGCTGCTGACCCTTGCCAACAGAAGACAGAGGAGGTCAAGGCTGTACAACTAGTCTGTCCCAGATTCTCATGTGTCTCCCCCTGGTGACATGAGATTGATGGCATTTACTTTCAGTGGTCACATCTCTGGCCTTGAGTGGCTGTGCCCACAATTAATTTTTTTGTTAGGAGTGACACCTTTTCTGTATCCATATTCCAGAGACTCTCTCCTTTTGAAACTTGCACTCCCTTGTTTATTGCAGCACTACA